AGGTGATGGTGGTGATTTTCAGTGACTTGGGGGTTGCTGTGTGAAGTACTTTGGTGTTCCCATATGGTAACGGTGTTCTATGCCAGAGTAGTGTCCATTGTAAAAATTACCAAATCTATATAAAAAAAAAAAATTAACGAAATAAACACATGTCATTATCACTGCCATGATCTTATACTATTATATTTATATACTATATATATTTTGAGCTGTTGCATAGTTGCATGTACTGTACAATGCATTCTGAATCATCAAAAACAGACTCGCGTTGTTGCCTACACCTATATGTCAAGATTTCCAAAATGTATATTTACTTAGCTTTATGCAACTTAGCTTTATGCAACATGTGACGTAATTTACATCAACATACACATGTTAAACAGTATGTGCAACTGCGCAACAGCTCTGTGCTGTTGCATAGTTGCTTGTACTGTACAATGCATTCTGAATCACCAAAAATAGACTTAAGACTCGCATTATAGCATACACCTATATGTCAAGGTTTCCAAAATGTACATTGACTGAATTAATGAGTCACTTTAAAAGTAATTCAAAACTAATATGATTTGAAGCTTCTTACCTAGCTGGAAAATGCAGAGAGGGATCCACTTTCTTTTTGTCTATGACAACCAGATCGTTATCTTGGAGTGATCCTTTTTCCGGGATGTGGAATTTAGCGAGCTGAACTTCTGTGTCGCTTAGTTCTCCATGCGATATACGGGCATATCCGACTCTAAAGTAAAGTAATCATAAGTTATTAATAAATAAACCTTTAAAAATTTTCATTTTTTTTATAGAGAAAAATTGCAACTAGGCCCAACTACTTTTCTATCTGCCTTTTAAGTCTTCAATGTATTAATCTTTTTGCTTGTGTTTCTAATTTGCAAAAATGCATTTGCTGTTTTATAAAATTAGGCTTTATGAGTCATCCAGACATTTAAGTTTAGTTTAGTTTTTTCACTGGTTTTTTCATCATTTTAATGTATCTTCAATCTTGAAATCACTCAATCTAACCAAGGTAAACTTATTCACTCTAATCTCATTGCTAGTAGGCATGTCCACCAAAAAGGAAAACAACCCATTTAAAAATGAGTGATGTGATTTTTAGAACTAAGTATCAACTTGGGAGATGGCCCCAAACCCAAACGTATGTAGCTTGAGGCCTAAATCATTGATCACTTGTCTAGACATCTGCCTTAAACCAGCTCTTAAAACATCCGATTTTTTTTTTTTTTTTTTTTTTTTTTTTTTTTTTTTTTTTTTTTGAAAATTTTTTTTTAAAAGCATATTTAGCTACTGCTTTAAAAAAGGAAACATCCATCCATTAGTCAATTGATTTAGAATTTAGAGTAGCTTAACAAATAAATACTACTTTCTTTCCCACGATTCCAATCATGGTTGTCAGAAGTGATGGATCCATTAAATTGGGGTGAGAATAAAACAACAATAAATTAAAAAGTATTAAAAGTATTTACCTTTTAAGGCGATTGTAGAAAATATACTGGCAAAATCTTTCATTATCAGATGAATCAATATCCTTAAAAAAACAATGAAAATAATGATTATATACATTAATAAACATTTTATACATATTTCAGACCTGCCAAGTCTCACGCATCTCGCAGAAGTCTCACGCATTTAACTTAGACCTTACGCAAGGCCTATATTCTCACATTTTAATGTGCTATTTTCTCAAAACAAGCATGTAACATGTACAAACAAGAATCTCGGCGCTAGCTATCCTGTAGTGATGGTCACAGTGTTCAACGCCACTTCAGCAGAAACTCAAGAAAACTAAATGATATATCAAAGTGGGACTTTGTATCAAAGTATTCACTGTAAAAGGTTTATGTTATATTGAGGCTTGACTGTATTTTCCTTAAGGTTTGTGACCTCATGCATAATTTTCAAAAAATGCCCAATCTCAAGCAAATCCAAGAAGAAATCTAAAGCAAGCCAGTGTGAGACCCTTGACAGCTCTGATATTTACATTTGCATTTTAACATTTACATTATTTGCATTTGATTATATAAATTTGGAGACTGCAATTCCCAATAAACTGATCATTAGATGCAACAATATGGTAATGTCCCAACAGTGAATCGAGCAGGTGTTCAAGTGTTTGATGATCCAAAACAAGGTGAATCGCTGCATGTCCTTGGTATTGTGATTATCATTATACTGATGGTATACATAATTCTATAACTGGATATTATCATTATGTTTCAGACAAATGCTAACTAGATACATGAACGTTGCAATATTCTGGTTCGTATTATCGTACTACCTGTAACTGTAAGTATTTTACTATTCATGTATACATTACAACATTGTGAAATGATTTTGTGTTATAATGTTTTGTGCTAGCTAGTAACACTATTTTCAAATAATTTTGTATATCATTTTTGACTATCAGTTATTTTAATATTCTAATTTCTTAAATTCTATCTCGATGTTAGGCGCTTTGTATCTTTAAGATAAAGCACTATATAAATCATTATTATATATAATTAAATGCAATTAATTATTCATGCATTATTAAACCTGAATCAATAGTATTAAAAATATATATATATATATATATATATATATATTTTATGATTGTTGTAACTAAATATTTTTAAATAATAATTATAGTACTGTATACCATAAGAAGTAATATTAAATCATTATCAATATCTAAAATTGTTATATTATATGATAACATTGTTATGACATATTAGTACTGTATATTATGTATATCATTATTTTTATTATTATGTTTTAATTATCCTACTAACTTAATACTCACCTTCAGTTTACCAAAATATCGTAACCGGTTGTAATCACGACTATCTGGTTTGGACACAATGTAACCCATGAATACGATTGGTCGTGTACTAGAGAGGAAAGACAGACACTGAATCATTGAAAAACGCCATAGAAAATATTGAACTAGATTTATTCAGTGGGAACACTAAGGAAAACCCACAAAGGTCCGAAGACATATTTCTAGTGCGGTGATAGTGTGGTGATTGGGCAGTACACAGAGAAACAATCCCTTACTCTTTTCCTAAAGAGTGTACTATATTCTTTAACATGCACATGGGCTTTATTTCAACGGCTTAAACTCTTCTGAAAGATATCATTGAGCCCTCACACTTCACATTCAGGCTCCGCCATCAACCTCCCCCACCCCCCATTTCAATACCCCTAAATATACCACTGTTGTGTTGCAATATAATGGACCTTTATGGGATTGTGCCCACCTCCCTGATGTTGTTGCTAATTTTCCATAAAACCATACCCTCTACATTTTAAACTGCCTGTCGTCGGACTGTTTGGAGAAGGAGGAAAAACAAATTTTACCTGACTCCGGTGATATTGGCCAGGTACTCAGCTTGCAATTTACGATCCTCATCATCTCTGCTGTAGTTTTTAAAAGATAAAAGAAAATGCACATGAATATCTTTGTTGTGAAATGTTGGTTGAAAATACATTTTTAAACATTTCAAAATTCTACCATTTTAACATTCTCCCAATAATTTTAGATAATACTCGTCAATATATTCCTTATTTTTTTCTTTTATTTTTTTATATATTTATTTTGATATTATATTTCATTTTTATATCCACTTCTATTAAATACATTAAAATTTACAAAAAATAAAACAATTAGGAATCAATTAGACTCAAACATGAGACTTCGACATTCCAAAAGTGGAACTAAATCACTGTAGAATGAGGGAACAAAACATATGCATACATAAAGTTAGTATACATATGAAACAAACAAAACTAGATGACACTCATTATAAACATTTCTAAAGCTAAACATAAAAAAATCATTCTGAATATACAATATGTCAAACATTAAAGATATAAAGTTCATAGTACTATAGGCAACTAATATTTAAACAAACATAGAAAGTGGCACAGTGATTTTGTGGTGGGAGTGTTTGCCTTCCATCCAAAGTGTTTGGTTCAATACTTCAAAAAGTCACAACTTTCCTCACGACAAAAGGAGCTCCATTCTTTCAAAGACTTAAGGCATGTTTATACTTGCAACGATAACGATAAGAAGCTAAAAAGTCATTGTTCATATAGAAAATATAAGAAATATGAGAAGTTTTTACACTAGGACGATTCATTCGATTACAACTTATCGTGTATACGATAACAAAATATTTTGACAAAACACGATAATTCGTTATTAGATCGTCCTAATGTAAAAACCTCTTTTATTTTCTATATGAACAATTGCTTTTTAGCTTGTTATCGCTATCGTTATCTTTGCAAGTGTAAACAGGCCTTTAATTTATGCTCCATTCAGATTATCACATTTTCTTTGACAAAAAAAAAGTGTATTCCCATATATAGTTATGACGTGCCTATATATGGTCATGATGTGATGTCATCATGACCATATTTAGGCATATCACATGTTTTTTGTCCAATGAAATTTCATAGTCTGGATTGGACTTTACGGTTATACATTGGAAATATCTAATAATCATCTTTGCTAGATGGCTTGTTAGAGAAGACGAACGAAAGGAAATTAAACGATTTCCCGTTAGCATATTAAGTGATTTTAATTACGGCCGGGCAGTGTCTCGATATTAACTGAACTCCTAACATACTGTAAAATCTGGTTAGCAGACATGAACAATCTGGTACATATATAATCATGGGACATGAATATTATAAAGCCGTCACCAGACCATCACATTTTATGTGACAAAAACACGCCTAACAATGGTCATGACATCACATCATGACCATATATAGACACATCATGACTATATACGGGTATAGCACAGTATTTTGTCAAAATAAAATTTGAATCTGGATGGGGATTAAAGCTGAAGAATATTTTTCTAACAGATCATTATTGATTTTTCTGCCTCATAGCAATTCCTTTGCAGCTGGATCTTAATCTAACCTTTCGGCCAGAACAACATATTCACATCAAAGAATAGTTTAATAATTAGTTTTGTGTATATGACATCTGTAATTAACATGTTTTTTTCTTCCATATCCGTTCACCCTATACATCTTCAAGTTCAGTTTTTTATAAATATTTATCCAAGTATGCTTGTAAGCAGATGTTGAATTTATAGTGCTAAAAATACAACAAAGGCACTTTTTTTTTCATTCTTTTTAAAATCGAATTTTCTAAATATTGTTGTCATGTTTTCATTATACAATCACCAAAATTGTTATGAGGGTTATTTTTAGGTATAGAATGGCTCAGCTGCAGGAGTAAGAATCAGAATGTCACTTTTATATTTTGTGGACAAAATTCTAGAACAGAGATTTGACGAATACAGGATGCTACAGTATTAGGATTTTCACCTATATTTTATTATTCATTTATAATTTGATATCGTTTTGGTGTTTATGCAGTTACACTACAGTATAAAACATACACAGTGGCACACTTATGGGATGTGCTGGGGCAAACGCCCACCCCCAAAACTATTCAGGGTGAAGTAGCTAAACATAACCTCCTTTTTGCAAGCTATTGCCCCTCTCATCTAATCATCGAGGGGCCCCCCCTCCACTTCACCTTCAACCACCCCCACCCCTCCAATTTTAAGAATCCTAAGTACGCCACTGAATATACATAACAAATTCAAGATAACAAAATATTGCAGTACTCGGGACGCAGACAAGAAGCATTGCAGAAGCCTAATTTATAGTAATAACCTTTATCAAATGATTTATTAATCGTTAAATTTGCCGCAGTATGTTCCTCGAAAAATTTCAGTGAAATAATAATGCAAATCACGAAGGATTAATACGGTATAGTATATTAATGCTTGTCTTTGTTTAATTGCAAAACTCGCAAGCTCCATACGGTTCTTGGATCTTGTAGTGCAGTTGGATCTTTGTATAAGGTGAGTTTTATATTTCTTTAAAATAACATAAATACAGTAGTGTCTGTATGACAAGAAAAATAAAGTTTAATAATAAATTTATCAGTATGTACAGTATAAAAGATGTACGAGATTTCGGTTGCAAAAAAGAATATTTTGTTCTTCACCAAACAACAGTCAATTTTTTTTTTTTTTTTTTTGGTGAAGTAAAGTTTAACCTACAATACAAAGACAAATTTCGGTGGGATCCTTCTGATGGTGAGCTGGTCTGCATACTGAGAGGAAATCCCTTGCTACTTTACTAAGAGTGTAACCACGTTAATAATATTCAGTGGTGGCGCTAGCCATGATTGGGGGGTGGGGGATTTGTAGGGGGAAGCTGGTTTCCGATTGGGGTTAAAAAAAAAAAATTCACCGGGAAGAAAAACAATTTGTGTCATTTTTTTCATTATAGTTTTGCCTACCATTAAATTTATTGAACGCAATATCAATAATAAATGTAAAATGAATAGAAATTTTTTATTATTTATGTCCCCCAAAATGCAATAAGATTAACATTGTTTTGTTTTAGGTCATTATATACAACAAATCTATTTCTTTCCGGCAAAATAATAGAAATTATACAACTTTTGACAATTATTATAAAGAAAATAAGTATTATATATTACATTGAGGAAAATATCTAAAAAAAGCATTGATTAAAAATGTATTAATCAAGGACCGATACAAATTTAGTTGCCATACATTAAACAAAAACGTTGTCTAAAATACCTGCCTTATTTAATATCCGAGTTTTGTTGTAAAATAGCAATGCAGCAAATTTTTAAAAAAAGTAAAATATGTTAAGAAATTTTAATGTTAAAAAAAAAGAAATTAAAAAATTTTGAATTTGTGTAAACCAGATGATTTAAGTCAAGTAATATTATTACTGTGTTATTATTTTAAAACATGCACATCAATCGAATAATGAACAAAGAATATTTTAGTTGAAGTATGTCTATTGATTTTATACAGTATATGCAATTTTTTTTATATCAAAATACATTCGAAACCAAAAGAAAGAACCCATTATTCAAAAGTTATGATGCGCCCAATTATAGAACACGGAAATAGCCAAATGTTTCACTCTCTGTGTTTAACAAAAAAACGCTTGTTTATGACTAGGATCAATGAATTTGCCTGTTGCGTCAAGACAGCCTGAGTGTTTAGGCTGGACAAATGCTGCCTAGTCGGTTGTCGTTTAAGGCATGCTAGGCATGCGCAATGGATAGTTTTTTAATGACCACACGCTCAGACAGCTACTGACAACCTGTAGACGGCTTCGTTTCGTAAACTGTTCAAAGAGAGCAAAAGTAGATCCGTTCAATCACGGTTGTGCCGCGCGACGCATTGTGTGCCCCGTTTTACAGCCACTTTTCAACTGTTACTTTTAACAACTTCAGTAAGTCCATCATTATTTATACAGTACCTATATTTTCAAACGAAACTTAATCTGAGTTGGTACTTAGATTAATTAGTATATTAATATTATTATTACTATTATTATTGCATTAAAACATAGATTATAGTGAAAACAATATATTAGTAGAGATGGAAGGTAAATAAAGTATACAATTTCTTTTAAATGTAACTATAAACAAATATAAACATGTATTTCTGGTTAGTTTATTTTCAATAAGCATGCTTTAGTAAATAGTTAATAGTAAAAAATTAAAAGGAAAACCAAGATTAAAGATGTGTTCCACAATCTGCATTCATACATTTTTTGTCATATCGTAAAGCAATCTTGCACAATGTTAAAAATGTCATTTTTAATTTTAAAGTGACAATTTAAAATAGATGATGTGTTTACAATCTGCATTTACACATTTTGTCATATGCTGAAGCTACCTTGCACACCCTATGTCACACCCTATGTCAAAAATGTCATTTTAAATTTCAAAGTGGCAATTTAGTAGACAATGTGTTTACAATTTGCATTTATACACTTTTATGTTAAAAATTTTATTTATAAAGTTTAAATTATCACTTTAAAAATGTCATTTTAAAGTGACAATTTGAAATAGACATAAAATATTGAGGTCAGGATGCATTGAATATTCACGCTAATGATGAATCATAATGGGAAATGTATGTAGAGCTTTGAATTATAAAAACATCCAAATTTCCAGAGAGTAAAACAAAACTTCCTACACACAATCGTATGTACACAAGATACTGTAGTCTTTCCAATGCAATATTGATTGAAAGTTGATTAAAATAGAACACGGTGTGTTCAGTTATCATTTTAAGGTGACAATTTAAAATTGACATAAAATGTTACGGTCAGGGTGCATGCACATGAATAATGAGTAATTATATTGAGAAATGTGTGTAGATCGAGTCTTAACTTATAAAAACATCCATAATTGAAGCATTACTAGAATGTGTGAAAAACTTCCTATACAGAGTCATACTGTACGCAAAATATAGTCAATTCAAATACAATATTGATTCGATTAATTAGAATAAACATAGTATGTTTAGTCATCTACTTACATATCATTTCCCATGTGGGTAGTCACAAAGTCGACAAGAGTACCGGAGATATTAAGCGTGGCACTGATGGCCGGCGCCAATTCCCCGTTGGGGGAGGGGAGCAAGTGGTGCGTTGAGTTCACGATGCGATGTTTAGATAGCAGAAGGTTTCTTGGGAAGTAAGAGAAAAAAGGAAACTAAGAATCAGGTGCAAATTAGCTAATTATCCTATTAAGTTTTACATTTTTTTTAAATAAAATGCTAAGCCTAGATTTTCCAAAGTAGAATGTTTCAACAGCTATTCCTAAATTCTAAATTTATAATTTATCCCCGTTCTCCTTAAACACAAAATTGGGTCAATTTTTTCGGGGTGTGCTTTATGCCAAGGTGAAATCCCTTTTTAATCAAATGGCATTTTTTGGCTTTGTATGCCCATTTCAAAGCTAATATTTGATGTTTTTTGGGGTCTTTTTTTAGAATATCAGGGGTTAAGGTAAGAAAATATATGTTTATGGCACCTCTAGATGGCCGGAAATGATTTTCTTTTTTTCCAGTTTTTAAAAAAATAATATTATGAATTTGATGAGACGGGTTATTTCTGGGAGATTCTTGCTTGGTTGCAGGAGTGAGGATTCGTCGTCCTGATTTTTGGAAGACCCCCCCCCCCCTCCGATATCCGGGAGACTTGGGAATCCTGGAAAGGCTACTTTATAAAATTGACAAAGTAGGAGGTGGGCTTTAATAAATAAATAACAAACTATGGTAAATGTCTCATGCTTTCCTCTTCAAATTTTCAATAAATATGTAAATGATTAATAAAAATGACACTGTGTCAATTTGAACCATAAAAAGAATAAATAATAATTACTTGAAGTATAATAAATCCTCAATTACCACAGACAGATGTTATAAATAGTTATTTGCATGTATTACAAATACCGAGATTACTCGTTATAAAGAGAAATTCAAAAGCAACGATGATGGCCATAAAAATTGATTATGAATTGAAGGAGAAAGGCTATATGCCAGGTTAACCATGCAGACTGTATTAATGTAAAATTTAGTTTAAACAGTAATAGTAATTTAGAAGTTGCTGACATCTGTTAAAACGAGCTAACAATGATTCAGGAATACTATTTAACACCTTACCAGGGCAGCACATGTTATCCAATCAATATTTTATAATTAAAATTTTCTAATTAAATATTTAAATCAAAAATGTTGCATTGTACATACACCCTGATGTGTTAGTCTTAGGCGGTAGAGGTCAAGTACAGGTGTGAAACTGTGATAAAAGGGAGAGACAGTGACTTTGTACTTGGTTTTCTTAGACTGGTTCTAAATAGATAATTGAAAATTCAATTACAATATCGTCAAAATAAAACATGCCATTCAAACTTTTAATTAAATACAATCAATAAACATTTATTTCAACCAATCAAATGAAAGGACATTCTCTAGCATCCATAAATGGGACTGATTAGAATGTCTTTCGGACGGACGACAATTATTGAGGATGGCCACTTTTACTGTGACGGCTCAGGACGGCTTGGCCTACGCAGCTCCATCTAGCCTAGTTGAGCCTGGTCCATTTTAGCCAATTCGTTATATTCTTCAAATCTTTCAAATGTTGCATTAAAACTAAAGCATATGTCTCTCCCTTTTATCACAATGTCACGCCTGTACTTGACCTCCACTTGACCTGTACTTGACCTCTACTGCCCAACACTAACACATAAGGGTGTACAATGCAACATTTTTGATTTAAATATTTAATTAGAAAATTATTTATTTATTAACTTTATATATTTATTTTTATTGTTGTTATTCTTTATTGTTACTCATTATTTGTCAGGTGAAACTTTTAATAATGTTTTACCACACCATGCTGTAAAGTGCATAGAGGTATTTTACATTAAGTCCTATATAAATTAACAATTATTATTATTATTATTATTATTATTATTATTATTATTATATTTTGGATGGCCTATTCGTTTTTTCTGTTTTTCTGGCTAAACCCCTCAGGTGCAGTAAACCTAGGCATATGCAGGAATTAATAAAGATTATTTTACTAATAATAATAAAAATAACAATAAATAATAAAATAAATTATATTAAAATTAATTAAAATAAATTAAATGACATAAATTAAATAAATATAATAATAGTAATATGACTGTCAAAGAAAATCTCTAAAAATGAAATTAAAGCATTGAATTGCCTATTATTGGATCAAATAATATATCACTTATCAAATAATATTATACAGATATGAAAAATGCTGTTTTTGCTAATTTACAAATGGTTTACCACAAAAATCTTTCAATTATACTAGCCAATCAGAGGGTCTTTGCAAAGGAATTATTTCTTATTCACCGAATAATTGGCTGAAAAATTGTTATCATTCTAATTAAACTTCAATATTAGTAAACAATTAAAATGTGTGGAATTGTATTTTCCTTTGAATAAATTCCTTAAAAAGTCAATTGTAAGGGAAGATGCTGATTTTTTTTTTGGAAAAATAAACAAAATTTAAAACATACCCCCAAGTGTGGTCCTTAGTTGATGGCCCAAAGTCCTGGTACATATGCAGTCGTTCAGATAAGAACATTGATATGTCGTTGTTGCCTAGAAACGGCCGAGACGCATCACTCTCCAACAGTGTTATAACATCCGCATCTAATTTAAAAAAAAAACTGTTGTACGCCCATATATAGTCATGATGTGCCTATATATGTTAATGGTGTGATGTCATCATGACCATATTTAGACATATCAAATTTTTTTTCCAATAAAATTTGGTAGCCTGGCTTTAAATTTTAGGTATGCTTTTTAACAATAAAGACTAAATCCTTAACTCTAATACTCTGAATGTTCCATAAAACAGAGTTGTGTATCGATAATCTCCAAGATTCAGTCAAAGTACCTCGATGAATCTTTTCTATTGCGCCCTCGACTTTATGAAATATTTTAATATGATTGACAACCACGAATGAATAGTGTACTAAACTAGTGTCACATTTTCAAATCTTTTTACTTGGCCTATTCTTAGCTAATTAAAAGTTTTTTTGGTTTTTTTTAATTAGGTCATATTAACTCAATTGTTTATCACAAAGCTCTCCTGTTTCCATTTAAACCTAATGCAGAATGTGGGTTTTTTTTTTTTTTATGTTTTAATAAAAATATGTTTATAGTCACTGGGTTTTAAATGTCAGTCACAGGGCTCTCTTCACTTTAGAATTACAGTGTGTCAACACACAACATGTTGTAGTCTATCAGAGAAGAGCGAGTTATATATTTTTTACCTAATTTTTTTACTACCTTTTTAGGTGAAAAAAACGTGCATGGGTTTAAGTTTTCAGACAAACATTTAAATTAATTTGGCCTTATAATTAATTAATAATTAGTATTAATTATAGTCCTAATCTGATAAGATAAGGTGGTGATCTATTTCCAGCAGCCATCTTGTATAAGTGTTAATACACACCCTCTGCATAATTAGTTATGATTAACTTATTATTGTAATAATGAGTGTACAGCTCAGAATATGCAAATAAGCATGTCTAAGACAGCATCAAGGCATGGAGACTATCATTCACACCTCAGGCCAGCTGAACACCATGCTGCGTCATGTCCACACAAGACCAAATTTAATTAAAGATCAGGGATGTGATTTCGAAATTATAGTTGGCTTTCCAATTTGAGACTACTTCTGGACCACGAAAATGTGGGGTGGTCTCGGGGTAGGGACTCTAATACCTTAGTGATAAAAGATTGTTTGCTGGTATCAAATTTGATGTTTGATTTGATTGGAGAGCAGACTGCATAGGTCATAACCATTGCTATTTTTTAATTGGACTATCCAACCTTCAAAAATTAAAACAAAAAAAAATGAAAAATGAGAAGATGACTCATCAAAAGAAATTATGATTTTTACAGCCTATTTATTTATTATTTATTTATTTATTAGTATTTATATAGTAAAAATACAGTAGTATAAAATGATTAATTAGTTGTAGGAGCGTGTGGTACAGTGTGTATAGCGTGTCGGACTCTGATCATCAGATCGGGTAGTTAGAGACCGATGCTCGTCGCACTACTTGTGTCCTTGGGCAAGACACTTTACTTATGTTTGCCTCTCGCCACCCAGAAGTATAAATCGGGGGAGTCATGCTGTTAACCAGCTCGTTGGTGACCATTCCAGGACTGTTCCAGTCAATTAATAGCAAACAGCTTGATTATATGCGATTATTCGCTACATCACACGCAAGAAGAAGAACAACTAATTAGTTAATTAGTAAGATAGAGATAAAACATTACCTGTTTCATTAAGGAGTTTGGCAACTCTTTCAAAGCTAGGTCTGCCCTCGTTGTCATACATAAAGTGTGCTGTGAAGATCAGCGTTGAGAACTCTCTTGGGTTAGCATTGCTGGGAGTTGGGGGGCTCATGTTGCGTCCACGGTACACAAAACCACCAATTCCAGTGCATAACAATAATATTAAGACTAATATATAGAAAAAAAAATTAATGAATTAAAGATGTGCTGTGTAACATCATAGAGCTAAAAAAAAAAACATTGAAAAATTAAATTCTATTTTGACTTGCTAAATTTGAGTAAGCCTAATATTACAATTGAAAATTTGAATGAAAAAAAAACTGTCTCTATCAACTAATAGACATGTAATCAATAAACTTTCCCATATTGTTTTACATAGGCTCTTAAATTGGTTGATGCGACAATCAATTTAAGGACTATTGAAGTAAAATACCTTACATAAGTAAAAAAATGTATTTTTTTTTATTATTTTTGGGGAGTAGGGGACTGTCTCCCGGTGTACAGATTCATTAATTACTAGGAAGAGCCCAAGAATTCCATTATCCTTCTTTAAACCATAGCCTCTTCAGTAGATATCTACTGCTCTTCTTCAAGGTCTACAGTGCTGGGCAATCACTGATACGACAGTCGTATGACCGTCAGCCGACGAATCCAACTTCGTTCCTTGTGAGCGTTAGATAACGCGAAACCGTCTGCTGATTGTCGATAATAGTCTCAACGGATCACCATTAAAAAATGATCTGTTGCGCCCACGTCGTGGGGTTGCATTCTCCGCAGAATCGCGTCGCCAACGGCCATCGGGCACAGTGAGCATCCGGCTTAAATCTCATATTGAGGCGATGAAGTTGATTTAGTCGTGACAAAAAAATCCGACTGTCACAGGAATTGAACCCAGGACCCTGGGGATTGGAAGGCAATGATAACCACTAAAGCTATTCAACTCTTCTCTATTTCAAAGCAAACAGATCTAATCCAATCAATATAATCAGTGAAGGAAAACTAAATTGACAGCACTTGAGTGCAAGATTCAAAACAGGAAATTTCTTAATTTGCTGAAATTCTAAACAAAGGTATTTTTACTCTGACTTTTTATATTGTGAATGTGGTATGGATTTTACTTGAGATGACTTGTAGGCCTACTATACTCCGAGTAATTAAGAGTTCAAAGCAGATTCATGAAAGATAACCTCCAATTAATGACCACATTTATACATTTCCAAATGAATGCCTACCTTATATCTTTTTATTAATATTTTGTTGTAATTTAAAGACCAAAGCTGCTATAAAAGACTATTCTGGTTCCAAAAATGGTCTTCATTTGGAGGGAGACCTGTAATATTGAAAACCTTAAAGCGAATTCAATTTGAATGCCTGTGAAATGGCAACTTTATAGAGGAAACCGGAGTAACTTACGAATCTTGACGTCAGCATGTACTGCGTACGGTCCAGTCCCATCCACATTACGGAACGCCATGTGCTTACTTGTAAACTTAGCATTGTTTCTACCTGCTCCTGTCAGCAGCGCGAATCCGATGTAGAGTACAATAAATACAATGAGATAGAATGTGCCTTCCCTAGCAAGAAATACATAAAACATAAAGTAGATAAAGTTTTCTGTTTCAGTGTTTGTTTCAGCACTTAAAATTTGATTTTGAATATTTATTTACTGTGTTAAAGAGGCATCAGCCCAGAAGCCAAAAGGTTAGCAGCAGGGGTGAATCCAGCAATTTGCCGACAGGGGATCCAACAAGTCTAGCGTGAGTACGAACCAAGGGATTAATGAGGAAAGATTTCATGATCTAGAGAATGGTACAACATTTTGTGCTCTTAGACCACTATATTATGGATTGGCAATCACACAACAAATTTCTATTCTTAATCTGACATCCTGACGATTAGGGGTCCATGTTTGTCGGCCAGAGGAATACCGTACAGTTCAACTTGCCTAAGTCGAATCCAAAATGCCATTGAAATATTGTTCGGACTTAGATAAAATTCGATTTACAGATTGTTAATTAATGGAAAACACAACAATTTGGCTTATAAAATAAGATCAAATTAGAAATTATTCGACTTAGGTAAGTTTAACTGTATTTCCCATCCCCCCGACCCTGCAAGTACCGCCGATGGTTGACACCTTTGCTGTTTGTCATTTATACTGTAGTTACATAACAGCTAGTCGACACCTTGAGCGCTTTGAGAACTTTTCAGTATAAATCGCTATATAAATTTAAATTACACTACATTGCATAAAAACACTGAATATTAGCCTAATATAAGCAGCTCACTGACCTAGTTAACCAGCCCCCAGGCACGAAGTTATATGCCACAGTCCAGACAGAAAAGAGCATCTCAAAAAGATAAATCCCCATTGCAAGTGTTAGAGTCTTAACTGGTGGACAGCTAGTCAGGCGGTCGCTCATTTCCGGCCAGATGGACATGGTGTACAATGCGACGAGGAGACCGAACGCAAATGCCGTGTACGCAGAGAAGTAAAACAAGAGGAGGGTACAATGTCCGCCGACGAACCACGTCCAAAGAAAGTGGGTTGATAAGCCGGGCTTCGACGAAATCATTAAACCGGTTACAAGTTCTATATAGACAGCACAACTGAAAAAAAAATGTTATATTTAGTACATTCTATTAGCCAATAAAAGTGTCGGTTCGTGCTAGGCCTGGCCGCTGTCAGCCTATCGGCGCTCTATTGCAGGGGCTAGCTAGGCCTAAGTATTAGAGAGTGACACCCAATCTAGTTTACAAATTTTTCAATTTACGAACACCCCTTGGTACCAAGGGGTACATAAAATGGACGTTTTACTATATAAGCTTTGAATGAACATATTTGAGGTTTGCCATCCCAAAAACCAGCGTACAGTTGCTAAATGTTATACTGAGTAATTAACATAAAAATGTGACAGTATTGTATATTTTTGTACAGAGAAGCTGTAATACACTAAATGACTTATTAATATCATTTTTAAGCTTATAACGTGAAGAATATGGATACATTAAAAAACGTCAATTTTTTTCTTGCTTTGGTCTACCGATGCTGGTTTTGGCATGTCAAGCCCTATTTATAAATGCCCCTACAGAGTTGAAATTTCCTCAAAATGAACCATCACCAAATAGCTGCTGTGGGCTATGGGTTTAATACAGCAAAAATCAACAGTTTTTATTGTTTTCTTCAGAGTGGAGTTGAATAGCTTGGTGGTTAAGATGCTTGCCTTCCAATCCCAGGGTCCTGGGTTCAATTCCTGCCAGTTGCAGATTTTTTTCTCACGACATAAACAACTCCACTCCCTAAATCTCATATTGAGATTTAGTTTGTGTAAAGCATCGTGTGTGTATGTTTGTCTTGTGTAAGGGATTGTCACCTACAAGTAGGACAGTGATATATATTCGCTAATGGTAATCCTTGGCACATGTGTTGTGTGCCTAAAGAAAGAATAATAATAATAATTTTCTATGGACGCCTGGGTTAGGCAAACTCGACAGCAAAAAGTTTCCTGTCGATCCTCATATTTTTACCACAGCAGTGGAAGTCTCTTTCTGCAGCACTGCTGTCTGTACCTGGAAATTCAAAACCATGTAAAAATTTACAGCTTTGATACCTGAATGGATTGGGACTAGGCCCGGTGAACGGATGTCCAATGCCTAGCCATCTACATAACACTGCTACATCCCCAAATAAACAATGAGTGAAGAACAATAAACTTCCAAAACCAGTGGCCATTTTCTTCCAATGAGGGGAGACTTTTGTATTAGGCTTAGCTTCAGGTAGCGGATATTCAACTGAATAAAAAAAAAAAAGTAAAAAACATTTAACTTATAAGTAAATTGTAGTTTGATGTGTGCAAAAAAATCATTGGAGTAAAGGATTTTTCCTACTAATTGTAAACAAAAATTTACAAAAGATTTGCAAGTTTTTTCGCAAGTATTTAGGATGGTACTTAGTATTCAGTACAAAAACACATCAGGTATTGAAAACATCATTCTTACAACAAATTGTACCGTACTCGCGCGCATAAGTGCCCCGTTTGAATAAGCGCCCTCTGAAATAACCGCCCCTCCTAACGTGAAAATTTAAGCGTCCCGTTTGAATAAGTGCCCCTTCTAATTTGAATAAGCACCCCCTCAATAATATCATAAGATTTTTTTTTTAGCAAGTCAATAATCCAATCAATTCTGGGAATGTGGTTTTGGTATGATTTGAGCTCCAGAGTAGAATCACATTATTCTTTAGGTTAATATCAAAATGAGGATATTTCTCTCGGACAGATGAGAGCTCCGATCCCTACACAGACAGTATATTTCCAACTTTCCTCTTACATATTTGTCAGCCGAGGGCCAACAAGCTAACCACTACCCACAACCACTAATTGCATCTGCTATTTTGCTGTTATGTAAATACTCACAGCATTCTTGTCATGAGCCATGTTCTCTGGACGATTATCTTTTCCGCCTAACCACCATTCATCCTTATATAATCTTTTTTCATTCAAAAAGTGCCTCTTGAATTTAGTAAGTTCATAAGAACCCCTCGATTTTTATCTATTTCCATAAGCGCCCCCTCAATTTCCACTCTGTTTTCATAAGCGCCCTGTTTAAATAAGCGCCCCGTTTGAATAAGTGCAAAAAATATTTTAAGCGCCCGGGTGCTTATTCGCGCGAGTACGGTATCTCTTATACAAAACTACAGTTACAAATACATTTGATTCCTTTTTTTCTATTTTATGAGACAAACATTGCTTATAACATAATAAATATAAAATAATATTAGCTATTAATAATAATGCACAAACAGTAATTAACAATTTAAGTAACTTATGTTATCCTCAGCGCCATATGGGTTTGACCTTACCTGCCATGAATCGGTCAATTGTCGCAATAATACCGATGGAAATGACAACGTTATTTGAGAATGCATCGCTCCACGCAGGAGTAATTGAAACGAACCAAATCCTGGATGCTAGTAGTGCTATAAAACCAAGCATATGTCCCCAGAATGATATGCATCTGAAAAAAGAAGATAGGAAAATTATTACACTTATTTTAAAGTGAATTAGTGAATATCACAAGATTTTTTTTTTTACTAATGGGCCTCTATTTATTTAAAGTAATTTATCCTGTATCATGTACTCATTGGTTCTAAATTATAGTAAATAATTTTTGTAATACTAGTATGAAAGCTCAACTGTGTTGGTAATAATGGTAAGGCCTGAAAAAATAAATTGTTTGTTTGCCCTTTTTTTTTTTTGGATGATAAAAAAAATAAAAAAATAAAAATAGTTTTTTTTGTGTCTTTTTTTAAAGATACCCATCAGATAGAATAAAAATAAACCACAGAGGCCTAGAATGGCAATATTTTACATCATACATAAAGTGGGTAGAGGTGGGTGGAGGAGGGCAAACAATTTTTTTTTTGGCCTAATACCAATACGATTATACTTTTTGTGTTGTGAGCATAAATTTAAAATTGATATTACTTAGTAAAATAATTATTTAAAATTTGTAAATAATGGCTGAAAATTATTTTTTTTTTAAAAGTATTATGCATACACCAGTGAATTTTTTTAAGCAATCAATCAATCAATTTATCAAACAATTATTCAATTAATCAATCAATCATTCAATCGATCAGCCCACCAATCAATGGAACAATAAATCTATCAATAAATTAATTAATCAATCACCACCTAAAATGTTAGAATTATATCTTTAAACTATTTTAACTTCATGCTTTTGACAAGCCAAACCAGTCACTCGTCGCAAATCGTGTTTCAGAGCAAATGTCCAAAACATGCTGGAATATCAAATTTAAAAAAATCTATTTTATTGCACTAAACTAACCTTTATATATCTACACATCATCCTATGCTGTTATTTTCCCCATTTTCTTGGTTAAAACAACATTTTTTAAGGATTTAAAGATAGTTTCTGCATGAGAAAGGCCTGAAATCATAAACTTTGAAGGCTGATTTCTCATATATTGTTCTTTAAACAGCTGTGTGGTTAAACGCTTGTAATTTCGTACGGAAATTTCCGATTTGAATGATTTTTTTACCATTTTATAGCTATTATTTTACTCTCTAACACTGTATTAATAATTCAAAATCAATCTTTGCGACGAGTGACTAGTTTGGCTTGTCTTTGTCACATATTCACTTTTTAAAAGATTGTTTTGTATTAATTGATTTGCCTATACTGTAAAGCAAGACATTTTTCATATCTTTTTTTTCTAAAGATCGTCAGAGGAGGGTGGAAACAAAATTTTAATACAAATTTTTTTTTCTTATTTAGAAAATGGTTTTGCCAGAAACATCCAGACAGAGGAGAGAAAAAAAAAATGTTATTGTTGAATGTAAACCGTGTAATAATGAGGTAGTTAAATGCTTTAACTTTATATAATTAAGAAGAAATATACATATCTATTTTTGGAGATGTCAAGCCAGCGGTGGGCATAATAAAGCATAAAGAAAAACTTTTTTTTTCTGGAATTTCTAGTTTTTCGCGGTGGGTATGCTAATTGGCCTAAAATAAAATTCTATTTTTGTTTGAAATCATCAATATTGGCGGGCAGCGAGGTTGTGAAACAAGGTACAAAAAACCCCTAAAAATGTTTAAAAAATACTATTTTATAAATAGTAAATAATTTTGTCTCATCTTGATGTTTCCCTTTGTAGTAAGTATCTTGATCTAAAATAGAGTTAATTCAAAGTAGCCGTCTGTTTAAAACATTAATTAACTATAATTTCAATAAATCTACATACTGTATGACAAATTATTAATTGATTAAGGTACCAGTGCTGGTTTTTCCAGATGTCCTTTGTTTGCATAAATAATAATATAATGGTTGAAAGTCTGTCAGATATTAATTTTACCTTTGGTAAGCAGACTTGTGCCACCACGTTGCCAACACCAGCAACAATGCAAAAAAATTGCCTGCAGCTAGGATTTGCAATCGCAAAGACGTTGTTGGTGCTTGAAATGAGGCAAGAGACGCAACACATAGTAATCGCAGGATCAATATTCCTGTTTTACTTTGAATAATGTCCAGGAATTTTGTTGAGATACACAGAAGCGGGCTAAACCATACAAGTGAATATGCCTCGTATCCTGTGATCTCTAACTGGTTGAGAGGGTAATACCATACCATGGGGGCTAACCCATGAAATACAGTCCAAAATGTATATCCTGAAAAATAAAACAAATTAATTTGATTAGTAATTTCAATGATACTTTAATAGCTTTTTTTAACAAACTAGAATTTTGAAAGATTGTCAGAAGGAAGGGGGGTGGGGGGAAGAAGAGGAAGGGCATGGGAAAATTATATTATTATATTATTATTATTATTATTATTATTATTATTATTATTATCTTAATCTTATAGAAAATTGTTCTTCCAAAAGTATTTAGACAGAATGGGAAAAATAAAGTTATTAAAAATTGGTATTTAGTATCTATTCTAGGAAATGTTTACTTTTTCGGACATGCCAATGTGCACCAAGATTGCAAGACTGAATTTCAAAGTAGTAGAGTCAAGCAAGATTCAATACCTCTGATTTGTGTGAAATAATTGGAACAAGATCAATGGCAATTCTTCTCCACAAACAATGGCATGAAAACCCTAGGAATTTCCTTGAGTATTGTAATTGTATTGACATTGGAAAGGTTGGTCTTCCCAATTTGGCATATTCTACTGAGTGAGAAAACACCCTCTCATGAAAGACACCTCCAATTAAAGACCGCCTCCAAATTAAAAAGACCACTTTTCTGTGGTCCCAAATTAACAAATGCCTGTTGTACCTGCCATTTACTAGAGGCTGAGCTTTCCTGAGGAAAATATCAATAATATTAATAAAGTGATAATAAATACTAAATATCTAATTCCATTATGACCAAGCCTAGGCCTACAGTACTTAAGTAAGTAGGGTTTTCGGGCTAGTTTAGCCTACACTAATCGCAGAGGTGTTCTTTGTGAAAGAAAAACATGTGTTGTGGTGAGAGAACAACAGAAAACGATACCTACCGATCGCGGCCTCAGAAATGAGAGCTCTGATGAAGCTTCTTGGATGGCCGTAGAATTCTTTCTCTTCCTCCTCCTCTTCTTCGTCCCCTTTTTCTGCTGGAGCTGTATCATCTTCTTTCACTTCTTTTTTAGATTGCTCTATTTCAGTATTTTCTGTTTCTAACTCACTCTCTTTCATGCGAGTTGCCATCTTGGATAATGTATTAACGCCCTCGCCAAAAGAAAAATATCTTTTAGGCTTTTTACCAGTCACACATGCGATCGATATAATCTGTGAGAAACCATTCAACCGGTAATTCTTGTTGGTGCAGTCGAGCGTGAGAAGTTCATAGATCAGTAGGCAGATGTGTATCTTTTCCGTTATTTGTTCTTCGTAGGCCTAACCTACCCACTAAACGAAATGTTTGGCTGAATTGATATACCAAATACGTTCTAGGAAATTATTATGGCAAACTTTATTTCCCGTAGCTGTTTAAAAGGTAAGATATTTTAGGGCCTAGGCACGGCCTCCGTAGCCTGCTGTAGGCTAGGCAGAGAGGCTAGGCCTACCTAGTACACAAATTGATGATAAGATTAAGAATCTTACAGACTGACTCGATCGTGATCAATTCCCATTTCGGTCAGAAAAGGAAGATTCAAGCCTAGCTTATAGTTAGCCTATGGTAAGGAGGTTACAGGTACTTCTAACCTACTTTTACTTTTTTATGTTGATACTAGCTGGAGCAGATCTCGGCCGGCGCCCCCCCCCCCCCCCCCAGCAGATCTCGGCCGGCGCCCCCCCCCCCCTCTAAATCTACCCCCGATCAAGGTGTGCAGACAATGTTTACAGACAGGCAAGCAAGGAGGAATACCTCCTCCTTTCTCTTGGTTCAGGCAACGCTTGCCAACCTGGAACCGCATTATTATTAAATCAATTCATAACGTAAACGATAAGCCTACCTTTTTATACTACAGCATTGGTTTTGTTAACTTTAGTTTTTAAATCTGAACTCCCTTTCCCATCCTGTTTTTTTATATACGAAAAATGCCAATCATTCAAACATCCGCTTTCCTTTACGTTACTATTTGTTGTCATACCTTCTGTAAAGTAAAGTTTTCTTAATTCAATTGTGAGGATGATCCGTTAAATACCAGCTCATATTTCCATGAAAAATCGCCAGGAAAATAGGTGCACAGAATCGTAATTACTGCATAAAATAATACATTTTTTCATAATAAGTAATAAAATAATTTCGCAAAATCTGCCACGAAATCCGCCCTTAATTTCCAAAATGCACGGATGAATTTGTATGCCAAATTTTTGCGCGGAGGATACATTCCCAATGCATGCCTTACTTTAAATTATGGTTGTAATACATTTTAAACAACTTACATTAAACAACAACAACATAAAGAAGAATTGTATTATTACATTATAATTCAATTCAGTATTTATTTGCTCCAGGGATGAAAGTCATCAATGACGGGTTTTTATACAATATTCTATTTACAAAAATAATAATGATGAAATTTTGATAACAAATATAGAATATAAAAAAAATCATTCTTGGTCTGAATTTAGAAAAGAATAGATATTTTTTTTTTTATATTGGCCATGGCAAATTCAATTTGCTGAATGGTACAGTATGCCTATGTTGGAAGAATTTTAAACCATTTCAATGGGTACTAGGCCTATGTTGGAAGAATTTTAAACCATTTCCATGGTACTGTATTTTCAGTTCTATAGGAAATGTTTTGTTTTTGTTTTTTGAAGTGCACAGTGTTAAGTCTTTCTGTTAAAACATTCCTTTATGTACACTTTAGTTTTTTTTTTATTTGGTTGGACATAATTTCATAGTTTTTATCAACAAAGACTAAAACTTACAATATATAAAATGTACTAAAATATAAACATTTTTTCTACAAAGAGTTGGTGCATACAGTACTATACATTAAAACAATGTTATCGTAGGCTTACATTTTAAATTACAGTACAGTATTCAGGCATTCTTTACAAACAGTTAACAGCCAACAATTGGTAACCAATAAAAACTAGGGTACTGTATTATGAGTACGAACTTTCGTAACTAAACAATACGATACTGTGTTTTATTTAGAAAGTAAAGTATAATACATAACTCCAAGTATTGAAATGCACACCATCGTGTTGGTTTCAATATTTCAATATTAATTACTGTATATCTATACTAATTGCAGCCATGTTGTAAATTTCTTAATGTGTTCTGCCTATCAGTTTTGTATGTCAATATTCTTTGAGTAGTTTACAGTAGTTTGTAATCAATTTATTGATCTTGGCAACAATAGTCTATCTCTTTTTGTACGTAATCGACTATGGTGGCTCCTGCTGGCAACACCTACGTTTGAAATTATTCAGGGGATAATCCCTATCCTGGGGAATTCCTCACCGGTCTGGGAATTCCCCACCTTTTAGGGAATTTCCCACTTCTGCCAAGAAAACGTTGACATGTTTCTCTAGTTCTGTATTGAGATATGAATTTTATTCAACCACAATACATTAAGAAATGATTTAGAGAAAGCTGATAGAGAGAAGGAATATAGTGTAAAATACCCCATGAAGAGCCAAACTGTCCGTTGATATGTAGTTAGTTTATTTGATGAGGTTCTGTAATGTGTCCCCTAACCTAATTATGTCCCCCAACCTAACATGTCATACAGTAACCATAAAGATATGTGTAATTGTGCAAACTCATAAGGGATGATTACAAATTATGTCACTCATCTCAAAGACTACCTAACCATACTAGAAACAGTTGTAGCCGTAAATGATGTCATATCCTTCAGTAAAGTAATGTCTGTAAATGAACTTGTTGAAACACGTCGGAAGCTGAAACTGAATTCACAGTATAGGAACCAGAAATAGGCAATTATTATTGTAGTTGGCATCCTGTTTTAACCACAGGATTAAAATAATTTTTAAAGAAACATACCTGAAGACGTAATTGTAGGTCTGTATTTTGGAATACTTCTTGTGTACACTGTAGCCATGGTGCAGGTAAACATTTTTTTTTTTTTTTTTTTTTTTGCCAAAAAAATAATGGTTGTTTGTAGTCTTTAAACATCTTAAAATAGTATACTATACAGTATACCGTATTGTCTCTAATAAACGCCCCGGGGCGTTACATTTTTTCAAAGGTGGGGCATTTACTAGAAGTGAATTGTAAAATCAAAAATTACCAAAACAAGCTGCTTTAAACGGTCAATAAGTTCTTTATGTACAGTAGATGAACAAGAATGTGCAGGGTATCTCCAGGCCTCCTGCTATTTTGCTGTTCCTTCGTTTCTTGCTGGTTATTTGAACATCAATAATTCCTTGTGTTTCAAAAAGAAATGAAATATCTTCGAGTTCTCTTGGGGTAAATGTCCGACGATGCAGAGCGGTGCTTCTCCTTTCACAACAGCAATCGCGTGCTTGTCAAAAACATGTCGGCCTCATGAACTAGAACCGCACCACCGCACGTAAAACATCTGCCCTCAACTTGAAGAAACATTCTCACTACGGTATAGTCTTCATTGACCAGACACCTTGAATCAAATCAGCGTTGAACACGCGACACCTTAACAATACATGATTACCCGTCGTTTGCCGTCAGTTTGGTTGGTGAGTGAACCAGCCTTTATTTTTAACACCATTGAAAAAACCTTTTTCTTGCAACCGTTTTTAATTCCCATCAAATGTACGAAAATTACACCACCAGCCCGTAATTTGATATTTTTGACAAAAAGTGGAAACTTTTAAAATGAGTAAAACAGAATGTACCGGTAATGCTCTTCCTCATTGTAAGGTTTGAAATTTTGAAAATTGGGGGGGGGAGGGGGGGGGGGGGGGGGGAATTGGTGTTAACCGAGAATCGATCTCTGGTATGAAAATTTTAAATAAACCTAAAAAGTTGGGAGACGGGAGAGTTTGCAGGTAAAGGGCGCACCCATTCCCACCAATGAGTAAAAAGCGTCCTCAATGTTGAAACGTCCTGATAGGATTATTAAACGTCTTTCGAGGAGTCGAGTCATAAACGTAATTTATATTATACCTATTGTTTCGGGAGACTGGGAGATAGCATGTAAATTCGGGAGACTCCCAATTGAATCGGGAGGGTTGGAACCTTTGAAATGGTGTTGCGGTGAATTGAACTGTTCCCTATGATACTGCTTAAGTTAAAGTTCACACCATAATATGAAATTTTTAATTATTGACTGGTTGTCAATTCAAAGAGTAATGTATTAATACTGTAAGCAGTGAAAACTCTTCAAATTGATTGTTTAAAATTGAATAGCCTTATAAAAGCAATGAGTAATTTAGTTGGTTGTTTTTTAATTTATTATTTTGTAGTGGTACACACCAGAGCTATGAATACTCTGTTTTTCTGTAAATAAAACATCATTATTTATTTTGAAAAGTAGTTCAGGAGCTGTATTAATTCGTCAATGTACACAAATGAAAAAATGAGTACTGTAGTAATACTATATTGTAGCAATTTTTTGACTATTAACGATAGATTTTATTTCACAAGCTTTCACCCCAGTCAGAGTGGGGCTTCATCGCGTGAGTAAAGTGGTTCACAAGATACAGCAATATTCATGGACACCAAATAAATATGTCAGTACTTTATTATGAATAATAAATATTATAATTCTTGCATACCAGTGATATTTGTACTGCACCATGGTAGTAAATTAATGGCAAATTAAATATTGAATATGATCTTGACTGGATGGAAATGAAATATAGCTTCAGTACATTAGAATATTATTAGTAATGAGGCCAGCCCTGGAAAAAATATTGTTTTTGCCTTCGAATATGAAAATTGTTTGATAGAATGCCTCCATCACCAAATGTTATCTTTACACCATATTAAATTTAAACCCAACAGTTCATTTTTTTTATATAATTTTTTCCCCCAAATGCCTCTAGGTCTTTTATTTTTCCTCCAACCATCTGTCATGCGGTCATTCACTTAATGAGGCTTCAAAGCCACTAGATCTTTTTTTACATTTTGTTTTAATTTTATAATTTATAACTGAAATTTTAAGAACCTGAAACTGAAATGCATTTTACCAAGTTGAAAACTGCCATGTTTTTTTTTTCTCAAAAAAAACTACTGTAATACTATATTCTAATTTCCATAATTCATTCATTCAATATTTATATTTCATATTTTATCACTTTTAGAGTTAATGATAGGTACAGTACATATAAACGATGCTACTGTAATTTGAGTAAATATGGACAAAGTATATTAAAATTTACCACCCAGACGCCTGCACAAATTATATGGAAGAAATGCTGTATCGTAGCCATAGAGTTTAATGAGAATACTAGCGCTTTCTCCAATGCATTCAATGTAGATATTATACAATAAAAATGTAGAGAATTGCTGTTACAAGAAATTACTTTGTGTGCATTAATCTTTTGCATGAACCAGGGAACAGTTAAATTACTGTTCCCTGCATGAACATTCATGTTACATCCTTAAATTCTGATCAGTGTTTCTGTGTAGGCTACAGTTAGGGATCTACTATACAGACTTTACGGAGCCTACAGTACTTGGTCATTGTCTATTTCCTGTTGTTTTCTTCTGCACTTCAAAATGGAATATTTCCCACTAGGCTTAATCGTGTCCTGTTCATCTCAGCCAATTGTGTCCTTGATACTATTCAAGTAGGCCTACTATACATACTGTAATGGTTGAAGAATGTCACATGACTATGAACCAACAGCGACAACATACTGTAGTAGCTAGCTTCATGAACATGACAGTGTGTCAAGTTTTAATACCTCCTCCGGTTTTGAAATTTACAGGTATGGATTAACTTCATCATACTCTTATCTTAATACCATATTCAATTCAGTGTCGGATTTAGGGTTTAAAGATTGGGTAGTGGCTAGAGGTGGTGTTTTTCAGCCAAGTGAACTTCTTCAGAAAATTTTTGTATAGGCGCTTTCACACATTCTGAGCAGTCTGTTAACAACATTAAATTTCTTCAAATTTCAAGATCTTTTTTTTCTGTGTTAATGTGAAAAAATGATGATTGATTTTATAGGCAGTATAACACGGATTGAATAATTTCAGTGTTTACCATATAGCTGGTTTATGCTAGCATTAATTTCATTCAATTTCATTTTATTTTTATAACATGCTTTTTGTTGATTTGACCTATTTAATACAATATTGTGGCTACAGTATCTGTTAGTCAGAGGGTCTTTTGTGGTAAAGGTGGTTGGGTGACACCCTCTCACAGGTTTAGCCGACGAGCCATCCCACCATCTTTTGGACCTAGCCAACAATTATTTATTATGGCTACTTTTACCGTGACAGCTTGGCCTACTCGGCTCGCCCTAGCCTAGTTGGGCCTGGACTAGATTTAGCAAAATCTTTCACCTTCTTCGAATCTATGGAATGTTGCATTAAACTATTAGCTAAATCATAAGTTTGATTAACAAGCTTTAGGCCTATTGATTGAATTTATGTTGATGTACAGTACCGAAATTCGGTGGGGATTCTCTTAAAGGTAAGACTTAAACCATTGTCTATGCGGTGAAAATTTCACTTACAACATACCTATGTCGTGTTAAAAACATATTTGTGCCCCGCTAGAAAATGGATGGTTCTAAGTTTCCCACAATGCATGCAAGTGGCTCAGCTAATACAGTATTTAAGATTCGGTTCCCCGAAATTCTTCGTCTTCTGTTCCGGGCTGCCTATTTCTCTTTTCTGGCTAAACACCTGAACAATATTCACCCCAAACACCCTAGCTTTTGATAGACTTCATGCTGCACATTACTGAAACAAGTGTGTTTACTAATTATCACGCTATCATATTACCAACCGTCTAGTTCAAAGTGATTTTGGATGAAACACGCATTTTGCAGAAACACATGTGTGATCATAAATTTGTCACGCATTTAACACAAGTCTATGCGTGATAACAAATTATCATGAATTTAGTGGAAAATGTATTTAAAATTAGAAGAAATTTGTTTTATTAACGAAATAAAAACGGTCATATAGTAAACTTGATTGAGTCATTAGAGAGCTTTTGTTATCTCATTCAAGAATCAATTCACCGACAAAATTCTTCTTTCTCTACCAAAACAACCCAGCCAACCAAGCACTTGTAGAATCTATAGGGAAGCATGTGCAGTCTCGCGCATTCATTGCCACAACCAACTGTTATAATGTAATTGAAACTCGGACCCCCTGGACTCCGGTGGTGGTCCTGTTGGCTCCCCCACACCCTGGCCCCCAGCCAACTGGTGTAGTCACACATTTTAAATCTCCCAGGTTGGTAACTATAATGCTATTATCATTTTCTTTTTTATTCAAGTGCCTCTACAAGCCTGTTCAGTGCTATTGAAAGCATTGTGAATTCACAATAATAGATGCTAAGTAGATAATTGAGACTCGAAGCTATTTGTTTTTAACTTTGACACTGATGTTTACTGGAGTATAAAGCTTTTTATTCATTATTCACTAATCATGCTATAAAATCACTTGGATAGTCATTAAGAATTCCCAAGCCCATAACCAAGTATTGTGTTTGCATGAACAGTAGTCACAATTAAAAAAAAAAGGACTGTTTGTTTTTTTTTTGTTTTTTTTTATTTTAATAGGAAACCACTTTTCTTTTGACTATGAAACTTTTATTAGAGCTGATCCTTTGTGAATATTTTGATTTGCCAACATTTTTTTTTTAAATAATATGACTAGCGAGAGAATATTTTTCTTCATTATTATGGCACATGGCTACTCAATAGGAGGCAATCTGTTTCATAAAGACAAAAATATAGACCAGTAAAGGTGCTTTACCATACTAAAGTGTTATTATGAGGCTAGGGAGTGGAGTTGTTCTTGGCCTTGAGAAAACGTCCTGCAAACACTGACAGGACTGGAAACTGGAGCTTAGAATTGAAAGGCAAGCATCTCAACCACAAATCTATTTAACTCCAGTGTACTGTATACTATAATGCAGTTATAGTCAATTTCTGAAGCTTATTTTCCATAAGGTGAATTTATTTCGCGTGAATCGAAAGCAATCCATTCGGTTTCTAAGCTCTGATTGGTTGCGCATTTTTTCGCTTCGCAAAGAGTATAAAAGTTAAAACCTCCGATAAAGATGTGAATGCGCCTTGGAATGAAATGACTCTTTCGATTCGTGCGAATAAATTTGCCTAGGAGTAGAAAAAAGGCTTAAGGTTGCTACAGTGGAGACGGGGATAGGAAAATTACTGTACTGTACTTGCAAATGAAATTGATGACATCACGACTGACTTAATGTTTATAATATTGACTTAAATTGGTTATTAATACTAAACATATACAGTTGCTATTTCATTGAAATGACTATTTTGGTATGAGTGTAGTTGTTGTTTTATCATGTTTTTCTCTTTTTTGTTTTGTTTTTTGATAGTCCTCTTATGAGCGCTGGCTTGTATTCAACATGGAGAAGGGCTTAGCTCAAAGTCGGGCAGGATACCTTGCGGTAAGTAGAAGCATTCGCCACAACAGTTGTAGCTCTACTTCTCAACCTTGAGTCAGGGAGTTTGAAACCCTTACTGGGCAAGTTGATTGTGCTCATCCATGAAAAATTTGATACAGGATCTAATACCAAGAGTGATAATATCGTACAGTAGCGTCTTATGGCATTGTGCCTACAGGAAGCTGAGAATATTGTGTTTAGCTATCAGGGGGTAATAATTTAAATTGAGAGGCATTTTATTGCAATTACGCACTATATAAATGCTGCATTATTATATACTGTAATTATTATTAAACAGAGGGTTACCAGCTTGTCCCAGAAGGGTAAATGTTATTCAGGGCCCTCTTAAATATAAAATAATATGCTTTATAAACTAGCCATGATAGGGAGTGGAGATTTTTTTTGATAATAAAAAATATGTTGCTATCATTGGAATTGATCCCAGGCTGCTCCAACATTTCCCACTTGACAAAAATCAATTTAAACACTTTAATCAAGAAACTCTGGGGAACTGTAAATCACTTTCCAGATTATCATATTTTCTTTAATTAATAAAAACCTGTTGTGTGCCCATATACAGTATCGTCATGATATGCCTATATATGGTCATGATGTGATGTCATCATGACCATATTTAGGTATTTCACATGTTTTTGTCCAATACAATTTGATTGTCTGAACAGCATTTACTATAATATAACATTGACAGTACATTTGAGAATGCTGTGGATCGTGAAAGCAAATGTTTTACCAATATTTTTGGATTATCAAAAAGGAAAATTTTACGTATTTTTTTTTTGTATTACTTTTCCAGGGGCGTCGAACAATACTAATTGTTTTAATGCTGTACTCGTTAATTCTTGGAATTGTAAGTGTAAACTATTTATACGTCCAGAACTTACGACGAGTGACACCACAAAATGCGTCGGCGACGCAAGCTCCTATGCACGTGCAAAACATACGCGACATTGTGCAGAACTTACAAGCAGAAAAATCTGAATTTATTTTCAAGGGAGGAATGCAAACGCAAGACAATTATCTGAACAGTAATATAAATAATAGCACCTTGTCAAAAAAAATTTCTTCATTGCCCAGTTCCATATCACATTCAACAACTCATAAGGTGTTATCAATACAAAATAGAACTATTGTTAATGCACATACTAATAGTACTTTTTCAAACGTTCAGAAGCAACCAATAGAGACGCCAGTCGTCAATACGGCAATTGTCAATGAGGCGGTCGTCAATAAGATGATCGTCAATACGGCAGTTGTCAATGAGGCGGTCGCCAAACAGGCAGTCATCAACGAGGCAGTCGTCAATACGGCAGTTGTCAATGAGGCGGTCGTCAATACTGCAGTTGTCAATAACACGGTTGTCAATATAGCGATTCTCAATAATAAGAGCCTGTTGCCACCTGTTCAGAAAGAGTTCCCCCGGCCGTCTGTTTTATTCCGTTACAAATCTATGAGGACAAGTAAGGTATGTACAGCATTTGTGATTTCTTGAAGGTTAATATACTATACAATAAAACCATTCTTTACATTGTTATTGTGGAATGATGTGAACATGTAGCTACTGCAGTATAAGCGCCTCTTTACGTCTACCAGGTAGTCACAGACCACGCCCATACTCAATTCAGCACAATGACGCTGCAAGTTATGGGTTTATTCTCCTACCTTTACCGTATCAGCCCATCCAGACATTGCTTATTATGAATCCCCGGATTTACGTACAGTATGCCTTCTGGTCCTGTGCATGAAAACAAGGTTCTACTGCTGTACTATTATGTTAACAGTGGCACTATTACGGCTGTATGCATGAGCAACATAACTCAGCTAAATTGGTGGTAGCCTCTGTGTGTGCGCTGAACCGTGGCGATCTCTACTGTAGGTCGCCAGTTCAATTCCATCCGATCCTCTCCTTGTGTTTCAGCTGAAAGACTAAAATAAAAGTTACGATAGCACATCCACCCACTGTCATCCAGATGATATGTTTATTCCGTTGGCCCTGTGTGCAATATGGCGCATTTGCAAGTATGAAGTGCTCTCTTAGGAAAAGAGTTAAGGGGATTGTCTCTTGTGTGCACTATACCCAATTCACCACCAGAGCTCCTATTATGTCCCTCATTGTGCAAAAAAAACTCATTTCCAACCCCAGCCAAGATCAGCCAAGCGTTTATGATCTGGTTTTAAATCAACTTATCTCTGATGGAAGTTTCAGTTTCATTTTATTAGACCAACAAGGAAAGTTAATAGCAAGATCTTTATACTGTATACTTAGTTTATAAATTTTATAATTCATGTACTGTATGTTTAATACTGTACAATTGTAACAATATGTAAATGGCATTGAACATGTCAAAGTGGCTTTTTCGTCTCGTAGTCGCAGAATTCAATAACAGTCAATATTGGATGTTGATATAAAGAGGTTTACAATATTGGACCTTTGTTACTGTATAGTAGGTAATTAAAAACTCCTATGAAACCAAAATTTGCTCGTACTCAATGTACAGGATTGTCAATTGACTCAAGCAATTCAAGCCGGAAGTGCATGCGTACGGTAAATAAAATTTGATAGTCATTATTATACCGCTTTCAATTGCAACCAGAAAGTAATTGAAGATCTGCTGTCCCTGGCAAATAATAGACACATTTGGCGATGTTTTGTTTACAGCCTGTTACGTAACATATATGAGATCTGAGATCTAGTTCAGAATCTCTACTTGCTCATTCTATTCGCCTGTCAACAAAGCATTATGGCAATCGTTCTTTTTCTTGGGCTTCTGTCTTCCTTTGGAATGCTTTGCCTATTACAATCCGACAGGCAACCTCCATTGTTGATTTTAAGGCAGCTTTTAAAAACTCACCTTTTCAACATGTGCTTTCCTTAAATTTCTCCTTGCATTTTTATTGTTAAGCGCAATGAGTCTTTAGCATAATGCGCTATATAAGCCAAAATTATTATTATTATTATTATTATTATTATATAGTGGGTATTGCTATGAAAGAAATTACAGAGTGATTAGTGTTAAAGTACACAGTAGGAAATGGTAACAGTCAAAAAACAGTCGCCCACCATTAATGTGTGAAGAAGTGGCAGTTCGGCGCAGCGGTTGAGGTTTGGACTTTCAATCGTAAGGTTGGGGTTTCGAGTCTCTGCTGTGCAGATTCGCTTGTGTCCTTGGGCAAGGCACTTTAGCTACATTGCATCAATCCACCCAGCTGTATCAATGGCAAGGAAAGGCAGTATGATTGTTCAAATAGTTTTTATTGACTTATTCTAGTTTTCAATGTGCTTTGTATGCTTTCGATTTTATGTGATGCTTCATAAACCTAGGAAATATAGCATGTCAAAATTGCAGTCCACGGATCGAAGACCCTTGTGCATCTAAACAGGCTGTAGACATTACAAGGGCCTAGTCCAAGCATTTATTTTTTTTTAAATCAATATTTGGGGCTAGTATCTTCAGCTATGAATTTGGTCTTAAATTTGAAAGAAGAAAAAAAAAGGGCCTGTTCTATTGTATAGTACCAAGAACCCAAAGCATGAAGACACCGTTTTGATGCTTTCAACCATAACCACCTTTAAAACAATAAGTCATGTTGTCGTTTATACTGCATAATATTTTCAAGTACTCTAAACACAATAGCCTCTTGCTTTTAAAAAAAATTTGAGTGCTACGGAAATTATGTAAATATTTTATATGACTTTTTTAAGTCCAGCCACTGGGGCTAGAGGCCCTCTGCAGTTGCAGTGCAGCTCCACCAGGCTTGAACTACTGTACAACATGTAACAAATACAGACACAACATGTTCCTTAACATGACTGCCTAGCTGTCACAGGGCTCCCCTTCCCCTCATCAGGGACCTCTGGACCTCCGCTTGGACCTCCTGTCGAAGAAATTACAGCAAAATCTTCGGGGAAAAATCAAATCTTGAGTGCAGACAAGTTCAAGCAGCCTTTCTAAGCTGTCAAATTTTAGGGATTTGAAACTGTTTAGTGCGAGCAGTGCTACCATGCGAGTTGCAGTGGTGGGGCCAGCTCTTCCCAACAGGATGCTGGTACCTCCGACAGGGGGTTAGTACCCTAACAGGGGGACTACTGTAGTACCCCTGACAGGGGACTCTTAACTTGCATGGTTTTCTATCAATTTTTTTTTAAATAAAGAATCCCAAGTAATTAACACAAAATTTTATTATTTTTTAATTAAAAAATTCCTCGACAAATTAAAATTTTCCCCGATCGAGGGAGTTGGGACTAGGGTGTGAACCCCCTTGTTGGGGAATTTTTTGAGCCACCCTTGAGCTCTCAATATTTAAAAGTTATTCAAGGAGACAAGCGACAAAAATTCCAATTAAAAACTAACGCTATCCGCGTTTGAACCGGAGTTTACAGTACGACACTAGAAGCAGGCACTACTATCAGCTAAAATACTCAGCTTTAAAATGCTGACATACTGAGTAATAAAGAATGACTACATATGTTTTTTTTTGTCACACATAATGTATTGATGTCAGAGGTCATACATTTGAATGTAAATAAAGCAGAATATTGATTGCAGATAGGTTATTTGGGATCAAATTCTAGGCAAGGTACATATTATTTCTCAATACTTCACACTGATAGTGCTGTAGGCCTACACTGGTAGCCACCTACTGTATGACCTCATAATTTTATCTATTGAGTTAACCTGTACTACAGTTTGAAGCTGTTTGTTTTCTGTACCTGAGTGATATACAGTAGTTTCTTAAGCATCTTTTTATTAAAATAAAAATAAATAAAATATTTATTAATATTATAATAGTGTAGTACATATTCCCCAGATGATAAATTATATTTAATACTAAACCCTAAGTACTAAGCCTATAAAATTCCACTTGATTATTGTTCACTACTAGGGCCTACTCAACCTTTCATTGTTATATATAATATTAATTTTTAATTTGTCCGGACTACCTGTACACCGCTGTGTGCAATCTGTTTTTATGATAGTGCTTGCTACTACTGTAGCAGGGTAGGTAGCTAGCTAGTTATTGTCATCATTAATTATAAGCAATTAGTAGAGCTCTGCATAGTACACTTTAGGAAAATTATTATACAAAGTTTAGATAACGCTTGAAAAAATGTTTGAATGTATTACTAACTTTAGTATAATAATTTTACGCTATTGTATGATGCATGCTCTAATTGCTTTACTGTATAAGTCAATCGCCATCCTTTAATGTTAGGTTTTTGATAACCAACTGTTAGCAGTCATTCTTTTCTATAGTGATATAATCAGTATACTGTGTGCTAATTATTATTTAGCTGTATGTATACTGATTTGTGCTCCTGCAGTACGCATTAACTACACATCAGCAGTACTGTACAGATACGATGAATAACTATTTTGTAATTTGTATTGTGTTAGAAGAACTTGTTTGTATAAATGTTTCGCATTCGTCAAAGAAATAAACATTTTTTAAAGCATTCGAGAGAGAATGCAGTCACTGTCATTAACTTTTTGGTTCGTGCAGACAGGTAAAAATCGTGGGATGATTTCATAGGCTACGGCCTAGGCTAGTAGTAGGAGGAGGCCTCGGCGGCCTCCTGTCTGGCCTTACAGTAGGCCTACATCTAATTTCGTCCCTTGAGTCTTTTAAATAGGTCTAGAATATTCCTATTAAACCTTCAGTTTGTTTAATTTATTAGGGCTCATTGATTCAAGGAATTGCTTAATTGTTCGTACTTAATATTGATTTAAAGTATTTACTTTCTTCGGGTTCTTATTAACCTTGTTTTACGAAAGTATTTTTCAATATCTTCGCGGTGACGAAAAAATGTGAAATTTTGCTTTGCACACGAACTAACAAAAATCAAGCCAAGCGTCCACTAATTGAAAAATTATTGGACCGTGGGGAATAGGCAAATAACATTGGGAGTTGCAGTGATGACGTCATGACTGACTTATAATAATTATTATTGATACTTTTATAGGGGTTGCGTTTGGTTCTTGTTAAGAGATAAATCGTAACATCTAAGTTGTGTATTAAATGGAAAAAAATAAGTAAAAATAAAAAATTATTTACAAGGGTCATATCTGGACAAAATTTGTCACATCACTCCTACTGTATTAGTATCACTTTCAGGTAGAGTCAAACCTTTAAACTGTACTCTCACACTATTTTTCTTGCATTCCTTGGATACACGTAATACCAAATTTTTCATTTAAATTGAAGTTTATAGGCCTACAGATAAATCACAATTGGTCCTGATAAAATTTACCTGGCGTAAATGTAAGAATGTAGGTAAGAATGGCCCGGAAAAAATGGCCCAGGATAAAATGGCCCCAGTAAAAATGGCCCCAAATGGCAAGTAGGTAAAAATGGCCCCAATGACAAAATTCAGTAATAGAAATGATATTTTTTTTTTTTTAATCTTCAAATATTTAAATACTGTAATAAGCAAGAATTGAATCAATAACAAATACAGTTTACACA